GCCAGTAATTTATACCGATTCAGTGGGTCGGGAATCACTCCAGGCAGATTTGGATCTCTCGACAGATGGATTTCAAAAGCTGTTGCTCACGAATCACTTCTACACTGCTTGCGCTGGATGTTTGCTGTCTGACAGCGAGAACGACACAATAGAAAGACGTGCTGCCGTTTATCTTTTGCATGCAGCAGCGTTCGGTCCTGCTTTCTCAGCACTTTCAACCCAGACTGCAAACTCAGCCCGAATCAGTCAAGAGTGATTCTGGACTGAAACGAGTGGTTACTTGCTGCTTAATGACAAATGCCCAGATGGGGTTAAAAGATTAATATTCAGAAATATCAATGTGATGGCACTGACACAACTTGAACTGAACTGAATTAATGACAGTCGTCTTCTGTAGAGCTGAATCCACACTGAACTGAATAAGCGGACATTGAAGTCGCCACAATGGATGCAATCACACTCATTCTCCTGTGGATTACTGAAGCTGCTTTGAAATAACTGTTCTGAATAATGCACTATCAATAAACGAGTCCATAAAGAATAGATTTGAGACATTTAACTCTTTCCCCACCAGCATTCTTTGAGAAAGGTCGCCAGTGATTGATGATTTTCACTCAAATTTGATGGCCTCCAGTATCAAAGTTATCTAACATTAATCGAGCTGAATTTGTTCTGACTCAGTTTAACTCTTCTTAAAGAGTTCTTGTTATATTTTATTACCATTTTCTAAACTATAGCGACTAAATTGATAATGTGAGAAATGTTGAAGGTGTCTGAATACATTTTGGTTTGACTGTATCTATTTGATAAATGAAGTTAACCAACTAACATTATACATTCCCTTTTGGTTTCTGTACCCAATATTTTAAATTTACAAATGCAATAAAAATATTGGTATCAGTACCGGCAAGTACCAAAAATAAAAGTATCGGTATCGGGCGAGTACTGGAAAAAGTGGTATCGGTGCATCCCTACTAACAAGGATTAAAGTTCCGTCGCTACGACGGATTTGACTTTTCATCTGTCAAATTCAAAAATGTATGTTTATAATCTTTTTTAAATTTCTAATTTAAAACAATGTAGAAGACAAATAAGTTACCAATCATATGCCATTAGTATTGATAAATTAATTTGTACTACAAAGGTGGCACAGAAGAACACAAAAGTGGCTTGTAGGTACATTCAGACATCTCATGAGGCCCAGAGGTAGCATGAGTGCAAATAAATTCATAAGGAGATTGTTTTAAATATAACATTTTGAACACAGAAATATGATTCAAATAACTGAAATTATATGCCAAAAATGAAAATGGCGGCAAGTCACTGATTTTATCACTGAATCATTCATTCAATTGATTCATTCGAACGGCTGAATCATTCAGGAATGAAGTAGATGACTGTCTATGAACTGACAGAAATCCGTCGTAGCGACGGAACTTTAATCCCTGGATTAAAAGCTCATTAGATGTGATAGGGATGGAAGCAGAACTAAAAGGACTTACCGAAAGACTCATTGACGGGCAGGAAGGCCTTAACGATGAACATGGGTGTTCCCATGACCTGAGACTCCTCGAAGACGTGGCCTCGTTTTCTGTTCAACACGCCGTAGATGCCGCCAACCACCTGCTCTGGGCACTGAGAGGAGAACAGAGATGCTCACACCTGAAGATGATGATGATTACACAGTGAAGTCCATCTGAAGAACGAGGCGTCTCACCTGAATCTCCACCAGGTAGACGGGCTCCATGAGTCTGGGCTCAGCTGTGATCTGGCAGGCGTACAGGACCCTGCGGGCCGTGGGAATGATCTGGCCACCGCCGCGGTGGATGGCGTCTGTGTGGAGAGTCACGTCGTGGACGTCGAAACGAACGGCACGCAGGTTCTCCTCGCAGAGCACACCCTGAGCAGAGAAACCAAACCAATCAAAACTTTAATATTCGTCAAATACAGCAGTGACCAAGAGCAAGAAAGTCATCAAGAAGGACAAGGAGGGAACACAAGTCTTAATATTAACAATAAAAATAAAGGATTATTCTTATAAAAAAAATAATAATAATGAATTTAATACCCTGTAATTGTTTGTATTTTATTTTAATACAACTAAAAAGACCAATTAAAATGACCTTTTTTATTGTTTTTATCATTGCATTTTATTATGAAAAATACAAAGCATAAAAAAAAGAAGCAAAAACTTACAAAGTACACAAACAAAATTAACGCTTTATTGGTTTGTATTTGTTGCTATTAATACAAATATTAATAACAAACCAAAAACAAAAATATAATTAAGATACAAACCAATTTTTTAAAAATGTGTATTTTGTTTTTTTAATTCTATTTTACTTTTAGTAATAAAAGTATGATAGCAAAATATATATATTTTTAATTGGTTTGGTTTCTAGGAACAAAAAAAAATAAAAATAAAAGGCAAAACCTAAAAATAAAAAATTCTAATAAATTTGTATTGGTTGTTTTTTTTATTATATTAAAAAAATAATTAAAAAATTGTAGCACTATTATAACAGCAAGAGCAAAATACTAACAGCAAAATGCTAATTTTTTTTTTTTTTAATTAATACTTATTTTTATTGGCTCGTATTGTTTATATTATTTATATCTAATTGCACTTCATTTTAAATGAATAAAAATATTCCAATAAAACATTTTAAATAATTCAAAGTTTATGACCAGATCTCAATATTGTAGATTGGCTCTCGCTCATGTCCGTGGAGGTCTCAGATATTTATGGTAGGTGTTATCGATCACTTCTTCAGAGTGGTGCATGATTTCTCCTCACAGACCAGCCAGGACATCAAGAGGACGGCTCGTTAACCAAACCCCGTTTGACTTCGAACATCTCACCTCTTTAGTGGCCCACTGGAATCCAGCCACGACGCTGTCCTTGATCTCGTTCAGGTACTGCACTCCTTTGGTCACATCCATCAGGAGGTTGGGTCCGGTTCCGTCTGGTCCGAAGCACCAGATCTTACGGGCCTCTGTGACCTCCCACTCGTATTTGTCAGCCAGATAACGAGCGCGGGTCTTGAGCTCCTGGCGGGATGTCACGTCGCCCTTGTCGATGTCTTCAGCGAGACCGTCGGGGAACGGCCTGGCCTTCATGTACAGACGGTTGTGCTTGTTGGGGGACTTCGACAAACACATCTGGTCTGACTCTGCGCTGACCGTCTCTCTGTAGGACACAACGGGGTCTGATTTCTGTTGGAGAACCAGACACACGGGTTACATCAGGAATGGCTGGTTGGCTGCATTTCAATTTATTGGCATTTCAGCTTCATAAGCTTTATTATATGACTGATACAGATTCAACATTCAAAACTCAAGTTTAAATCACGTATTTGCAATTAAACTACTGAGCCCCACATGACATGGACAAAAATATATATTTAGCATTTATTCAACAAATGAAATAAAGGAAACTACCTAATACAAGAGAAACCAATTCTTAATTCATGGTCACAAATGAAACGAGGGAATGAACGAGCAAGAGAACCAATAAAACTGTGAACAAAGAAAAACCGAGCAAACTAAAATGAGCGAGTGAATGAATTAAAAGTAGTGAGTGAACGGATTAAAACGAATGAGTAAAAATTCTTAGTTTGTGGCCATGATTCAACTAAAACAAGGGTACCAATTAATTAATAGTGGGAACCAATTCTTAATTCTTGGTCACGATAAAAATACAAAATAAAAATGAGGGAACTAATAGAAGGAATTAATTAAAAACAAGGGAACGAGTTCTTTGCAGACAGGCACGAAATGTTTTTTTTTTTTCTAGTTTATATTGTAATTTCATCCGAAGCATCTATGATTGAATCAAGTGTGCAAGGAACTGTACACAATTTGGATCATGTACACAACTCTATAAAAATCTAACGGTTTTTCTATGTCCTAATAAAATCTGCCGAGTGCTAAAGATGCACAGACCTTCAGTGGAATGCAGGCGTGGTCCTCCTCCAGATCTTTAAGGCAGATTTCCAGGTGAAGCTCTCCGGCGCCGGCGATGATGTGCTCTCCGGACTCCTCGATGATACACTGCACCATGGGGTCGGACTTGGCTAGGCGCTTGAGTCCCTCCACTAGTTTGGGCAGGTCGGCGGGGTTCTTGGCCTCCACCGCCACTCTGACCACAGGGCTGACGCTGAACTTCATCACACGCATGTTGTGGGCATGCTCGAAAGTTGTGATGGTCCCGGTCTTCACCAAAAACTGGTCCACGCCAACCAGACCCACGATGTTACCACATGGCACGTCTTCAATGGGCTCCACGTAACGACCCATCATCAAAATGGTCCTGGAATAAAGAAATGCTGTGCATCAGAAAGGTGGTACACAGTTATGGGATCACGTTAATTAGTGATGCACTGAAGTTTGGCAACCGGAAGTTAATTTGAGGGACAATAAAATCATTACAACCAATAAAAATACAAATAATTCGCAAATAAATTATTTTGAAGAACTGAGATCTTTTAGTCGGTGCAGTTTTCGGTTGATGCATGATCAAAAAGTCACTAAACATTATTTCTAGAAGGGCTGGGACAATAAATCGATGCATCGCGATTCATGGATCGATTCTGAGATTTTCGGAACGCATCGGGATTCTCTCTGGAATAGATTTTAGGTTCAAGTGGTGCGTGTGTAAATGAACTGGAAGCAGGCAGAATACGGCTATTTCTAAAGCATGCAGTGCCACCTGCTGTTAAAAACTAAGCTCAGAATCGATTCAAGAGAGAATCGCAATGCCTTCGGAAAATCTCAGAATCATTTCCGCTTGCAATGCATTGATTGTCCCAGTCCTTACTTGTAGCACACCAACCATCCAATAAATCGCAATAATCTTTGTGCTTTATATAAATTTGACTCAAATTGTCATTTTTACATACAATTTCTACAATAAATGTAGCCTACACATTCTTTAATTATTTTGATACACATGCACATTCATTAATATTGGTACTTAACCTGTTGTCTTCATTATTTAATGCATGTTTAAATAAATCGGGCATGAAGTTATTAACCCTTTAGGCGCCAGGATTTTTTTGGGAAAAATGCTGGATTTTGACATCAAGATTTCAAAAGCTTGTAGCTTGAAAGGGCTTAAAGATAGAGATCTAATGTAAATTAGAAAAATGTTGGGCATGACCGAAAGGTTATGTGGGGCATACATATATATATAAAAAAAAATATATAAACTGGATCATTTTTAGAGCTTTAAAGTTCTTGAATTTCTCTCTCAAAAGGTTGTACAAACCCTGAAATGAATAATGTAATAACATTCAACTCTTTCTGCCACAACACAATGCATGGTTATAGCTAACGTCATTACTTCTGGATTTCTGACATACGGCAGCGCTGTTTGATCCGTTAATAACAGGGAAATCTGTGCAGTTCAAACGCTTCTCTCTGGATCTCGCAGCGCGGTGCAGTAACTGTTGCAAGATCAACACTGGCTCCCGAGTAAACCCGCTCTGAGCTCAGACCAGTTTTCTCACGCTGTGCTCAATTATTGGTCCGAGTTGATATGTTCCGCGCTGCGCAGCTCAAACGAACAGCGCAGTTTCGTTACACGCTTGTTTCATTTGATGTTTCTCATATGCAACAGAAATGGCAGGGCTTATGAGTTAGGCAACGCGGTGGTTGTGCCAGTGCGAGCACTCACAAAATTTAGTCACAGGCATAAAAAAACACATTTGGTCGCAGTCTGGAGCCCTACAATAGAAAATTCTGTTGTCATTTATGTAATCTACAGCTAGCTGTGCATTAAATTATTTTAACACATGGTGGCAAAGAACCACCCAACGCGCAGCAGAGATCTAGTATGCAGCCCGCTTTAAATCAGACACCGAGATGAAGTAGTGCGGTAAGATCACATTTATTTGAATGCATGAATTATAGCATTGATTTGAGTTAATTATCGATAGAGCGAGCGAGATGAAAGTTGCATCTGTGCATCTCACTGCACACAGTGAACCTGTAAGTTTAGTTACTTCAAAAACAGCAATTTTACCTCCTCGTTGCCGAGAAATATAGCGATTCAGTATCTAAGCTATTATATTAATAAAGTAGACAAGTGTGTGCTCGTCAATGTTTCCGTGTGTGCGCTGCGCAATCTCCAATCTGTGTGCGCACGCGGCAATGAAAGCAGCGCATTAATATAGAACACTGATTAAACTGACTTGTATTAAACCGTTTCAATGCACACCTGTCAGCCAATGAGAATAGAGCATTCAGACAGACCATGGTATGATATTTAATTCTTTAGAAAAGCAATAATTACTAAACCTGAGCAATGAAATACAGCTTGTTAATTACAATATATTTGGAGCAAACAAACATTTTAATACTCTTATCTGGGGGAAAAAAAAAAGTTGAAATCACTTTAAAGGCTACATACAGTTCCTTTTTAATTTTAAATTTCGGCTGGTTCCCTTTAAGTGAACTGGGTTTGGTTCTTTTAAAGCAGACTACGTGAAAACACCTTTAGAATGATTTCTGAAGATCATGTGACACTGAAGACTTGAGTAATGATGCTGAAAATTCAGCTTTGATCACAGAAATAAATTTCATTTTAACAGATATTCACATAGAAAACGGTTACTTTAAATTATAAAAATATTTCACAATATTACAGCTTTTTTGAACAAATAAACAATTTTGGAAAGCATTAAAAATATTTTTAAATCTTTTAAATGGCAGTGTATGAGCTTAAGTCTTCTAGCAGATGTTTAATTCAAATTACTAAAATAATGCTCAAGACGAGGCTCACTTTATCAGCTAAACTGAACAGACTGTATTTACAGGTATGAAGCTCACCTGTCACCCCAGAGTTTCTTCATCATGTCCTCAACTTTCTTACAGCGTTCAGATGGGCTCAGCTGACCTTCACCTTTAGCAGCAAACTTGGCCACATACATCTCCGCAAACTGCTTCAGAGTGAAAGCCCAGCCGTGAAGACCAGATCCAAAACCCACAGTACCGATCACTGGATCAATCTGAGAGAAAACAGAGAGATGAGCACAAGTAGTCCAGCTCAAGGAACCGATATCATGAGACTACAGCTCTGAACGGGTCAGAAATCACTGAAGGATCAGCGTAGGTCTCAGATATTGTGTTTAGTTGTTCATCAGCCAATCAGAGTGGTGCATGGTTTCTCCTCACAGACCGCATAGCATTTTACCACTTCATATAAACAAACGAAAGCATGTTCTCACCATGATGTTACCCATGGGTCCATTCTCGTCCTCTCCGTAGGTGGAGATGATGACGTTGACATTCTCCACGATACGCTGGAAGGTTTGGTACAGCTCCTCGGGGGCCAACTGCAGCTCCAGCAGGGCCCGGTCCATCTTATTCATCATCAGCACGGGCTTAATGCGCTCGGCGATGGCCTGTCTCAGCACCGTCTCTGTCTGCACGCACACACCTGAGCAAAAGAGACATTTAACGTCCTGTAAATAGCAATAAATGCATTTTAGATCATATCAGGGTTTCATGAAGGTAACTTTAAGAGCTTTTTATGACTAAGTACAGAGAAGGACTAAACGGAAGGCAACAATACATTCTCTAAATGTAAATCCGAACTTCTGAAGTATTAAGTAGTCAAATTTAAGACTTAAGGAATAAATGGAAGTGTAAACAAAGAAATTAATCAATTAAGTGAGTTTATGATTAATACATGAACAAATATCAACCAAAAGGGTCTTAAACTTAATTCAAAGGGAAAACAAGTTTATTTTTCTGACTCTATTGGCAGATATTTGTTCCCAGTGTAAGTATAAATGCACTTCATTTTGATCAATTTCAACTAGAATATTCCTCTTCATTTTGCATCTCAACTAAATGTTCTCCAGTACAGAAATCAAAGTATTTTTAAATCAAGAAACAAGACAAAAAACCAAGGAGTGTTTTTGCAGTGTATGCAATATTTAAGGGCAAATTAAGACCTTTTAAGACTCACAGAAACGTGTCTAAGGAGAATAAGAATTATTAGCAACATTAAAAGGTTTGAAAAAACTTCCAACTCATTTATAAAATAAAAGGCTTGAATACCTCTGCTCACAAGCACTAAAACATGAAAATAGGTTTAACACTGCAAAAAAAAAAAATGCTGTTCTTCCTCAGTATTTGTCTTGGTTTGCTTTCCACTGCAAATGTCTAAAGATTCTTAAATCAAGATGCATTTACTTAGCTAAAGCACATCTTCACAAGCACAAAATCTTGTTTTCTGAAAAACGGATTAAAAATGAATTTAGTCTGATTAAAACCAGAATAAACATCTAATGGTCCCTTTGACAGATACCTGCTTTATGCAAAACAAAGTCTGAGAAATTGAACAAGTGAGTTTTTGCTTAAAGTAAACGTTTCTTGATTTAACGATCTTTAAATATTTGTATTGTAAAATAAGACAATACAGAGGAAGAGTTCCAGTCCTTGATTCTGATTGGCTGAGAAGCGGTTGTAAATGACTCTACAGCTGTGTCTCATTTAGAAGGCTGCGTCCTCCGGAGGTCGCATTCGAAGGATGCATACGTCACAAAGTAACATATACCTTTGCTAACGTTTGTGTGTTGCTCGGCAACCACTTTGTAGCAACCACAACTGTTTCTGAGGAGCTACATTGTTTGGTGGAAGAATACTGTTTTTATTAATATCATTACACTTCATTTGCTCCGTTTTATTTTGAATTTTATTTTTATTATAAAGCCGATTCCGTGATTAGTAGTAAACAGCCATCACCTGCTTTCAGATGGAGCGGCATTTAATACACAGTGCCGTAGTTCACTGACAATTAGGCAATATCACGTTCATAATCGCATTCAATTATGAACGTGATATTGCCTAATTGTCAGTGAACTATGGCTCTGTGTATTAAATGCTGCTCCATCTGAAAGCAGGTGATGGCGATTTACTACCAATCACGGAACTGGCTTTACTGACGAGGTGCGCTTGACAATCGCATGCGATTAATTGCACAGCCCTAGTTTTAGGCACTCCGCTTCATGCCTAACAACGCCCCTTAGCCGTTATAAATTCACTGTAAACCACGGCTTCTTGGGGCTTATTGATTTATTTAATGTCATAACTAAATGGCATAAATATAAGACTTTTGGTCCAATTTAAGGCATTCATTTGGGGAAGGGAGACTTCAGACCCGCATAAACCCTATGAAGGCCACATCAATGACAGTATGATGTATAACCACAGTAAAAAGCTTACCAGAGACACAGTCCACCACAACCAGAGCTCCATCGGTGACACGCAGAGCAGCCGTGACCTCGGAGGAGAAGTCCACGTGGCCGGGAGAGTCGATCAGGTTGATGAGGAAACCAGATCCATCCTTGCACTGCTTAATGAAGGCCATGTCATTTTCGGTCAGCTCGTAGTACATGGAGATGGCACTGAGAAAGAGGCATGACAGAGGGAAATCAACAACCAACTCTTTGTGCATTAACATGAGACACTCGGCTTGGCTTTTGTTTTGTTCTTGTGAGCATGTCACAGATGATTGGCTGTTTGGGGCAACTATGAACTCTGAGATTGGTTATTTAGTGATAACTAAACTTGAATAAGAAATATAAGAAAATACAAAGTAAATGACTGTTAGACATATTGCTTGCACTTTTTCCCTCACTACAGACATCTAACGTTTTAAATAGTGTGTTTTACTAAATGCACTTTGGGTTGTTTTTATTAGTGAAAGAAAGCTCAAATGTTTGCCCTTCTGGATTTACCATATTTGAGTTCAATTAAATTGTCTAAACTTTCATACCACAGGTGCATTTTTGCATTGTGATATATTATGACTATATAGTTACAACCCTAACAAAAAGGAATAAATACTATATGACTCAATGCCATAAAACACTGAAAATGCAGTTAAACAGCCTTTGCCTTCATGCATATCACAAACACTCTTCTGAACTCCATTTATAGTCATGCATGTTGTTTTTTTATCTTATATGATTGCACTTTTCACACAATTTCCATTTTAATTCTATGATATTGTCTGTAGATGTCCACCGATTTGATTTTACGGATACCGATTTATCAACTGATCGTTTTTAAAATGGATACGCAACGAAAACTAAAATACTACTTTACAATAAACAGTACTGAACCATGCTTTGTAAATGAATAATATTAATCTTAATTATATATTGATGATAATTAGTAGTTCCTAGTTCATTAATGTTAACAGAAGCAACTTTAACATTTAAATGTAGTAAATGTTGTAATTAACACTCTAACCAGGAACAACACTTTTACAGCTTTTAATAATTCATTACAAATTGACTTTTATTGTAAAGTGTTCTCGTATCATCAGTCATGCTTACAGATGGAAATATACAAATATCTACACAAAGGCCATAGCATTGAAATTACATACATATTGATAGTTTGTCTACTCTCATACTTTATTTGCTTCTATTTTAGAACACTTGAATATCTAACCAAAACTATAATCCGTTAGGGTGCTTTCACACTAAAACTTTAGGTGCGCACCCGGGTTTGATTGACATCAGAGTTCGGTTCGTTTGGATGATGTGAACGCGGTCTTCCGAACTCGGGTGCGCACCCGCGAACTGTACCAGAGTCAGTTTAAAAAGAGTGGTCTGGGGTATGGTTCGCTGCTGATGTGAACACAATCATACCAAATCACGGTAGTGAACCGCTATTAATGACATTATTTGATAAAAATGTGTTTTTCACTCACTTTCTTGACTAGCGTGACTGACGCGCTGCAAGCAGAGAGCTGTAGATCTTATTTCTGTTCGCCTTCAGAGTTCTTTAGAGCATTGTCAGTACATTCGTAAGGCAGACGTAAGTGCTGTCATGTACTGAAGCTTTGAAAACAAAACCAATGGTTCAAAAGCACAAATATAAAATTAAAGAGAGCAACGCTATGCATTTTGCCGTCTTCTCCTGAGATTTTTTCCATCTCTTCCATTTTCTCCATCGTTACCAAGCAATGGGGTAAACAGCTGCTGGCTTGACGCAAACGAACCAAATATAATGTGAACACAGTCCAGCAGGGGCAGGGGGGAACAATCGAACTCTGGTTCGGACCAAGCAATCAAACCAAGTGTGAAAGCACCCTTAGTCACGCCAGGCAAAAGTGCAGTGTCGAGTCTAGGACGACTCGCAGGAATCACACACACCGGATGCATTTGGGTCGGACTTGCGTGCGTTTAGTCACATTGTTTTAACCGCTTGAGGTAAAACTAATGTTCGCATCCTTTCAGCCTTGAAAGCAAACTGCTGCTCTTTCTCTAAATCATCATCTAGTCAACAAATTAATTACTTTACAATGATACGAAAACATGCACTATAGTATAATGTGTACACATCTCATGGTCTGATTTAAATCCGCTTCTGAAGTGTCCCGCGGAACACAGCCGCCCCAGCAACAGATGCAACCCGGAAAAACTATCGGCATGGACTTTTGCCAATAGCCGATAGTTCCAGCAATCGGTGCCAATTATTCAGCAAAAACCGCTCACTCGGTCGACCTCTAATCGTCAGGTTGAGTTATGCATGATATTTATATCGTCTATTTATCTGGATTTTATTTACAGATTTGCAATTTTAAAAATCCCGATATTTCCAAAGTTACTTATGCATGGCAATGCTATTCAATCTATTCAACTGCATATTTACAGTCTGGCAATTTTAAAATCCCCTGATATTTACAAGTTCAGTCATGTATGAAAATGTTTACATTTAATTGCAATTTTATAGGTCTGCATATGGAAAAAGCCTGATATTCCCAGATTTAGTTATGCATAATTTTTATATACTTAATTGCACTTTTTACAGACATGCACATTTAAAATTCCCTTATGCATGATACCGTTTAGATTTATTTAACTGCATTTTATTTAGTCTTGCGATCTTAAAGTCCCTGGATATTCGCCGGCGTCTTACGTGGATTTGATGGTGATGCAGCGCTCTTGCTCGTCTTTACGTGTGTCAGTGAAGCGGGTTTCTCCGGCGCGGGCGGAGGCGATGATTCCAGCCTTGGACACCAGAGAGTCAGTCAGTGTAGATTTCCCGTGATCCACGTGCGCAATCACAGACATGTTACGGATGTTGGACTTCTTGTCCATGATGGCACGGATCTGGTCGACTGTGAAGTTCACCTGGAGGAGACGCATTTGAAATTCATCATCCAAACTTGCATCAAACAATGGTATAAACATCAATGTAAATTGTGATAATCATAATTAATAAATCGCAATTACAATTTCAAGGGAATAATCGAAAATTATGATTTGTCATAATCATGCAGCCCTAGCACAGTCATCTGTAAATATTTTTATTTTCTCAGGAATTAATTGATTTTCTTGAAGTGACGACATACAGAGCCCCCCGGCTGTGTGCATGATCCCATTTGCCAAGTTCAATGGTCTATAAAAAAAGACTGGTACTGTATTTATAAAAATAAAAAGTGTTCCAAATTTGGCTCCCTTTAGGGCAGTACGTCAGATTTCTAGGCCTCAAGCCTGCTTTAACACGTACTCTGCGGCAACCAAAAATAAATAAAACGCACTGCGAAATGGGCTGATGGTGCATTAAGTGGCTCAGTGTGCAGTCCTATATGCTAAGCTTAATGGCTTCTCGTGCACACTCAAAAATCTGTATATTTTTTTATTTCTGTAAAGATCCTTTTAGAGGCTCTATAATGCCAAGAATATGAGAAATCCATCATTTTTCTGCATAATGAAAAAGTGCACCTTGAATTCATTCAGTCACTAAACAGCTGCCATCAAAACACTTCTTGTACCATAAAAACATTGTAATTAAATTTATAATTTTCTATTACAGAAAACTAATGCATATTTTTTTCTATACTTGCAATTACAATTTCAAGGGAATAATCGAAAATTATGATTTGTCATAATTGTGCAGCCCTAGCAGTCATCTGTAAATATTTTTATTTTCTCAGGAATTAATTGATTTTCTTGAAGTGACGACATACAGAGCCCCCCGGCTGTGTGCATGATCCCATTTGCCAAGTTCAATGGTCTATAAAAAAAGACTGGTACTGTATTTATAAAAATAAAAAGTGTTCCAAATTTGGCTCCCTTTAGGGCAGTACGTCAGATTTCTAGGCCTCAAGCCTGCTTTAACACGTACTCTGCGGCAACCAAAAATAAATAAAACGCACTGCGAAATGGGCTGATGGTGCATTAAGTGGCTCAGTGTGCAGTCCTATATGCTAAGCTTAATGGCTTCTCGTGCACACTCAAAAATCTGTATATTTTTTTATTTCTGTAAAGATCCTTTTAGAGGCTCTATAATGCCAAGAATATGAGAAATCCATCATTTTTCTGCATAATGAAAAAGTGCACCTTGAATTCATTCAGTCACTAAACGGCTGCCATCAAAACACTTCTTGTACCATAAAAACATTGTAATTAAATTTATAATTTTCTATTACAGAAAACTAATGCATATTTTTTTCTATACTCTTACAGACCTGGAAATGACTAAAAACAAATTCCATATTTTTTACAAACTGCGTAGGAACCCTGTTTGACAATCCTGATGAGTGACATGATTAAACTGGCAGGCATGGCAGAGCATCAACACTTCTAGGACGCATTTAGGTTGAATTTTGCCATCTATGGTGCGCAGATTAGAGATTTAGATGTAGATATCAAATGTGACACTTATATTGAACATGACACCTGTTTAGAAGAGATTGTATGTAACGGGCAGCAATTATTTAGCCGCGTTAAACGCAATATCTTTTATACTTTATTAAATATTCACCGCTTGCGCCCTTTTCACGGCCTACCGGAAGCCAACAGACGGCCATGTGCGTGATGTGGACCCGCTGATGAACCGCACATCCGGGACACACCGCAACACGTGACCGCCGTGAGCCGGTCTGAAACACACGCGACACCTGCAGGCAAAGCGACTGAAACCGCACACAGGCCATCACACGCAGACGGGCATAATTGTGCAGCCCTAGCAGTCATCTGTAAATATTTTTATTTTCTCAGGAATTAATTGATTTTCTTGAAGTGACGACATACAGAGCCCCCCGGCTGTGTGCATGATCCCATTTGCCAAGTTCAATGGTCTATAAAAAAAGACTGGTACTGTATTTATAAAAATAAAAAGTGTTCCAAATTTGGCTCCCTTTAGGGCAGTACGTCAGATTTCTAGGCCTCAAGCCTGCTTTAACACGTACTCTGCGGCAACCAAAAATAAATAAACGCACTGCGAAATGGGCTGATGGTGCATTAAGTGGCTCAGTGTGCAGTCCTATATGCTAAGCTTAATGGCTTCTCGTGCACACTCAAAAATCTGTATTTTTTTTTATTTCTGTAAAGATCCTTTTAGAGGCTCTATAATGCCAAGAATATGAGAAATCCATCATTTTTCTGCATAATGAAAAAGTGCACCTTGAATTCATTCAGTCACTAAACAGCTGCCATCAAAACACTTCTTGTACCATAAAAACATTAATTAAATTTATAATTTTCTATTACAGAAAACTAATGCATATTTTTTTCTATACTCTTACAGACCTGGAAATGACTAAAAACAAATTCCATATTTTTACAAACTGCGTAGGAACCCTGTTTGACAATCCTGATGAGTGACATGATTAAACTGGCAGACATGGCAGAGCATCAACACTTCTAGGACGCATTTAGGTTGAATTTTGCCATCTATGGTGCGCAGATTAGACATTTAGATGTAGATATCAAATGTGACACTTATATTGAACATGACACCTGTTTAGAAGAGATTGTATGTAACGGGCAGCAATTATTTAGCCGCGTTAAACGCAATATCTTTTATACTTTATTAAATATTCACCGCTTGCGCCCTTTTCACGGCCTACCGGAAGCCAACAGACGGCCATGTGCGTGATGTGGACCCGCTGATGAACCGCACATCCGGGACACACCGCAACACGTGACCGCCGTGAGCCGGTCTGAAACACACGCGACACCTGCCGGCAAAGCGACTGAAACCGCACACAGGCCATCACACGCAGACGGGAAACTAGTCACGGAATTAAAACACTAGGATATGAAGTTACAAACCCGATAGTGGAGGCTTTCAGATCAAACACGCGATTCTTTGCACAATACGTGGCACGGTTAGCTAGCATGCTAACCAGGCCCGGCCTGACAAGAGCCGGGAAAACAAACCGAACGACTCAAAATTAGACGTTAAGGGCGTGGAGTATTTAATAAACTAGTTATAATCTAGGCAGAAACGATCAATGAGTTTTAAAGCGTTTTAGGAAATGAATCACGCCGCAGCCATTTTGTTTTGTGGTAAACAACTAGCCGGCCTCTTCCCGCCCGCATTTTGCCGCAAATCCCGCTAAACGCAGAAATACCGTATCAGACATTGAAATCTGCTCGCTGCACAACTGTACCGAATCAAATAATACGTCTGATACGTACCATTTTGACAGATGGTTCAAGATTCACTCGGCACTGATTTTACAGCAGAGCGCGCTGCCTTCCGCTGGCGGGAACAGGCAGGGGAGAAGGACGCGTCACGCCGCCGCGCGCTTTTATATTCCGGCCACGCTTTCAGCGTAGCGTCATGACGCACAGGCGACGCTGTTTTCTTTGGCTCCTCCTCGCGTCACACATGAGGAATACAGCATTGGCAGCATTGGCGTGACTGAAATATGGAAGAAAAAACGAAAATAAATAACTAAACAGACACATCGACGCCCATATAAACCAAACTTTTGATGATAACCCGCACATCCGGGACACCCCGCAACCCGTGACCGCCGTGAGCCGGTCTGAAACACACGCGACACCTGCAGGCAAAGCGACTGAAACCGCACACAGGCCATCACACGCAGACGGGAAACTAGCCACGGAATTAAAACACTAGGATATGAAGTTACAAACCCGATAGTGGAGGCTTTCAGATCAAACACGCGATTCTTTGCACAATACGTGGCACGGTTAGCTAGCATGCTAACCAGGCCCGGCCTGACAAGAGCCGGAAAAACAAACCGAACGACTCAAAATTAGGCGTTAAGGTCGTGGAGTATTTAATAAACTAGTTATAATCTAGGCAGAAACGATCAATGAGTTGTAAAGCGTTTTAGGAAATGAATCACGCCGCAGCCATTTTGTTTTGTGGTAAACAACTAGCTCAGTGTGCCCGCCCGCATTTTGCCGCAAATCCCGCTAAACGCAGAAATACCGTATCAGACATTGAAATCTGCTCGCTGCACAACTGTATCGAATCAAATAATACGTCTGATACGTACCATTTTGACAGATGGTTCAAGATTCACTCGGCACTGATTTTACAGCAGAGCGCGCTGCCTTCCGCTGGCGGGAACAGGCAGGGGAGAAGGACGCGTCACGCCGCCGCGCGCTTTTATATTCCGGCCACGCTTTCAGCGTAGCGTCATGACGCACAGGCGACGCTGTTTTCTTTGGCTCCTCCTCGCGTCACACATGAGGAATACAGCATTGGCAGCATTGGCGTGACTGAAATATGGAAGAAAAAACGAAAATAAATAACTAAACAGACACATCGACGCCCATATAAATGCTTATTTAAGACATTAGTTATATAATATTTAAGTAAATAAATAATTAAATGGTCACATCCATACACCTACATTTTTAAATAGGAAATTTAGCTGTCTAATAGTTAAGTAACAGAATAAGTCACAGTCATGCACATATAAATGCTTAAAAGGAACATAAATTGTATAATATAATTATATAATATAAAATTGCATACTCTTGTATGCTCTTTAAAACATTTTCCTCCCTCCTTTGTCCTCCTCCTCTCCCTCCTTCATCAACTCTTAACAGCTCACGACTTTGCCACATTCTTCATTAATAAAATTACAAACCTCAGTGCACAGTTTTCCACACCACAATCTGTCAAGCACATCTTACCAGCAAACATATACTCGTTCACATCCACTCTCTGAGGCAGAAGTCTCTAAACTCATCCTTTCTAATCATCCTACTACTTGTCCGCTTGATCCTATTCCATCTCATCTCCTTCAAGCCATTTCTCCTGCCGTTGTACCTGCACTCACTCACATGAACACA